GCTTCCCCTCCCCCCTTAGGAGCAGAGCTTCAGCGTCACAGCCACTTTCACTTTTTGTTTAAAAAGCTAATTAAGAAGTGGGGCTCCCGGGCCAGAGGGAGGGGGTGGGGCAGAGGGAAGGAGCGGAGCCGGAAGAGGTAGGGTACTGGGCCCGGGGTGCAGTGGACTGAGCTCCAGCAGCCCGCAGACATAAATACAGGTGTGGGACAAAGAGGGCACGAGAGCTAGGGGACCAAAGGCTGGCAGGGGGAGTGAAGGGAACTGAGGCTGGCCGGAAGGCCTGGATGTCATAAGTGAACCCAGGCCAAGCTAGGCGTGGGGCGTGGTACAGCTGAGACGTCAGGTGGAGCGACAAGGTGGGGTGGCAGGGTAGAGGCAAGCAGCGACACCCTCTGTCTCAGGCACCCCAGGGTCCCAGGCACTTTGCAGACACCCCAGGAAGGTCCAGAGGCCATGTGACAAGGGCAAGGACAAGATGAGGAGGTGAAGCCCTAGTTGCTGGGCTCCGTGGCTGCTGCGGCCGCCCCTAGTGATGAAATGCTTCTCCCTCGAGGGAGAAGCAGCGTGTATCCCTACATGTCGAGGTCCTTTCTGCTGGATACGCAGTCCTGGGGAGAAGTCCCCATTTGCACTCCCAAAGTTGCATGCCCAGAACCTGGCCAGCTCCCCTCTACGCTCTTTGTACCCTGGGACCGCGTGACACGCACATTCCACCTACAAGACTGGCTGAGCCCCTGGTTCCCTGTCTTGCTCCTTCTCTTCCAGATCCGGGAGCTGGTCCCCGAGTCCCAGGCTTATATGGACCTCCTGGCATTTGAGAGGAAACTGGATCAAACCATCATGCGGAAGCGGGTGGACATCCAGGAGGCTCTAAAGAGGCCAATGAAGGTGTCTTGATTTGGGGGCAGGAAGAGGGCTCTCGGTCCTGTTCCGAGAACGGAGGAGTGGGATTGCCCCGGGAACGGGAGCACACAGCGTTGGCTCTGTACTACACTCTTTATTTCTACAGCAAAAGCGGAAGCTGCGTCTTTATATCTCCAATACTTTTAACCCTGCGAAGCCCGATGCTGAAGATTCTGATGGCAGCATTGCCTCCTGGGAGCTGCGGGTGGAGGGGAAGCTCCTGGATGACGTACGTCCTGGCCCAGGTCTCTCCAGGTGTCCTGGGGTGGGTATGGGGCTGAGCTGAGGACGGACGAGATGTCTGCACCCTGGGTTAGGGAGTCAGCCCCGGCCAGGGGTGGGCGGCCTGAAGAGACAGTCCAGGTGCAGAGGCCTGCTTCTAACCGTGCTGCCCTACCCAACCAGCCCCATCCGCCCCCGACTCATCCTGCCCCCACGGTCCCTGTCCTGCCCCCACGGTCCCTGTCCCTCTCCCACAGCCCAGCAAGCAGAAGCGGAAGTTCTCTTCCTTCTTCAAGAGTTTGGTCATTGAGCTGGACAAAGACCTTTATGGCCCCGACAACCACCTAGTTGAGGTAAGACCCAGACCTCTTCTGCCCGGGAACAGCCACCTTTCCACAGACCACCGTCCCTCAGCCGCACGGAGTCCGGAGCAGGGACCACCTGAGCGCCCCTGGGCCCAGCAGCCCACATGGGCCAGTGAGGTGACCCAGCTGTCCTCCCCCTGGGCAGTGGCACCGGACACCCACCACCCAGGAGACGGATGGGTTCCAGGTGAAGAGGCCGGGGGACCTGAGTGTACGCTGCACACTGCTCCTCATGCTGGACTACCAGGTCCGTGGCCCTCCCCCCACACCCTTGCTCTTCGGGCAGGCCTCGGCTTCAAGGGAGCGCACCCCGAGGGACCCCATGCTCTTCCCAACCTCACCTTCTCCAGAGGCATGTTTCCCAGGAGCCCAATCATCACGTCCCCCAGTCCCAAGCTGCCTGGCCCTGAGCTCTTCCCACTCCCTCGCTTTTATTTTCACGGCCATCTTTTCCCAGCCTCCCCAGTTCAAACTGGATCCCCGCCTGGCTCGGCTGCTGGGATTGCACACACAGAGCCGCTCAGCCATCGTGCAGGCCCTGTGGCAGTACGTGAAGACCAACAGGCTGCAGGACTCGCATGACAAGGAATACATCAATGGGGACAAATACTTCCAGCAGGTACCCTCTCCCCTGATCTCAGGGGTGTGGGGGGCCGGCAGAGGTCCCAATAGGGGAGGTGCCTCGACTAACGGCAACACCCCCTCCCCCACTTCTAGATTCCTGGGTATCACAAATGGTAAGCAGGGTCCTAGCGCAGGCCCAGCCGTGGCGTAGCTCCGCGCCGCAGCCCATCCCTTTTAGCCAAGCCAGTTTAGAAAGATCTGGAACCTTAAAAGGCCAACAGTTTGGGAAACATAGTATTCTTGGCACTTGGGAGTTGGGATCCCTGGGTTCTAGTCCTGGATCCAGACTCCACCAAAGTAGAGATTATTATTCGTAAAGCTGTTTAAATAAACACGGCAGGTAAACCTGAGGAGTCAAATAGCAGTGGGTGTTTACTGAGCACTTGCCGTGTGCCAGGCACTGTTGCAGCGAGTGTGGGCTCACCCACTTAGTTCTCCCAACCACCCTGGTGGTTACCATCCCCACTCTGCACTTGAAGAAACCGAGGCCTGAGAGTTCAGGGGCCTGGCCCGAGGTTGTGGTGTCAATGGAAGAGGCAGGATTTGCACCTCGGCGGCCACAGACCCAGAGCTGGTGCTTTCGACCACTGCACCGCACAGCCCACGTCCTTGTCCTCACTCCACCACCGACACCCACGTCCCCGGCCCAGCAGCACTGAGGAGTTAGACTTGCTCTTGGCGTCTTGTGGCCGTCCCAGGACGGAAGGATCTAGGGCTGTAGTTACACTCTTTTCAAGCAGGTGAGATTGGTCTCTTTCTCTCCTGCTTCAGATTTTTGATTGCCCGCGGCTGAAGTTTTCTGAGATTCCCCAGCGCCTCACAGCTCTGCTATTGCCCCCTGACCCTATTGTCATCAACCACGTCATCAGGTGAGGCCCCAGCTTGCTCCTCAGACCAGGGAATCATTGCAGTCCTGCCCTCCCTCTTCCCCCCGCCCCGATTCCCTCCCACCACCACCGCATCTGCCCCTGGGACCCTCTGGCCTCTGTGGGAGCAGCGCGGATACCAAGGGCTGGACTTCCCTGGCAGCGTGGACCCGTCGGACCAGAAGAAGACGGCGTGCTATGATATTGACGTGGAGGTAGAGGAGCCACTGAAGGGACAGATGAGCAGCTTCCTCCTGTCCACGGCCAACCAGCAGGAGATCAGTGCTCTGGACAGTAAGGTGGGGCCAGAGCCCAGAGCTGGAGTGGGACATTAACCCCGAAATGACAAAATACAGACAAGAAATGAGAACACAGGCCTATGGAGAGATGAAGGGGGCAGGTGGCCCTTCCCTTGCTACTTAGAGCTCTGCCCATCCCCCCTTCCCCAGGCCTGGACCCCAGGGATTGCCCTTCAAAGGAACAGCAGCAAACCCCTCGCCCGCTGGCCCCCCTCCTCCTTCCCCTTCTCTCCCGCATCACCATGGCCAGGTGAAAGCGTCTTTTTTTCTACCTTTTAGATCCATGAGACGATTGAGTCCATAAACCAGCTCAAGATCCAGAGGGACTTCATGCTAAGCTTCTCCAGAGACCCCAAAGGCTACATCCAAGACCTGCTCCGCTCCCAGAGCCGGGACCTCAAGGTGAAGGGGACTCAGGGAGCACTGGATGGAAGAGAAGCATATTGGGAAGACAGTAAAGGTGGTTACACAAGGGCTGGAGGGGGTCCGGGCTCTGGGCTGACCCCGCTGCTCCCTCCCAGGTGATGACAGATGTGGCAGGCAACCCCGAGGAGGAGCGCCGGGCTGAGTTCTACCACCAGCCCTGGTCCCAGGAAGCCGTCAGCCGCTATTTCTACTGCAAGGTGTGGACGGGCCCGTGTACCTCAGGCCTCCCCACCCCCCAACTCCCAGAGAAGCCTCCCTTCCCAGCCCTGTCAGCGGCCCTTGCCGCTCCACCAACCCCCTCACCGCGCAGGGGCCCTCCCTGCCCCCAGATGCTCTTCCAGGGTGGCTGGGTGGTGGGGACTGGCCTGTCACTCACCGGCAACAGCGTAACCCTGCTACTGCTCTTATTTTCCTCAAGATCCAGCAGCGCAGGCAGGAGCTGGAGCAGTCGCTGGTTGTACGCAACACCTAGGAGCCCCCGCGAATGAGCCCACTGTGGGCCTCCGCGCCCCGGGCCCTGGCCCCCCGGGGCTCTGCCGCACTCCTCTGCCACCTTCTGGGTGAGGCAGGGGAATGATTAAAGGTCATGCATCTGAGAGCAGACTTGTGTGTCATTGGCAACTGGGGAGGAAGGACAAGGGGAAGGCGGTGGGTCCCTCTGGGAAGACTGCCCACCCCCTCCCTCAGAGTCTTCTCTTTACTCCGTTTCCCCTAGACCTAAAAACGGTTTGGCAGAAGACACTTTTAATAACATTTATCTTATTAAAAAAATACAGCACAAGCTCTCCGTCTGTCCGTCCGTTTTGCCTTGCCCCGCCGGGGCCGCGGCCGAGAGGGGAGCCGCACGGAGGGCCAGGGCCCCGGGCCGAGCTAGGTGCTGTTGGCCTGCTCGGGCTCAAACAGCGCCACGGCGAGCTGCGCCCGGCCCCCCAGCCCCTCCAGGTTGCTGAGGCGGCAGCGGTGGTAGAGCTCCTCGCTGAGCCGTGGGCTACAGTCCCGCAGGGAGAACTTCTGCACCAGCCCTGGCTCCACGGCCCGGAAGAGGTGGAGCCCTGAGAACCGGAGGAAAACATCCATCACCTCCAGCCCCTCCAGGGCTTCCTCCTCTTCCTGGCCTGCCAGTTCACCGGCCAGCCGGGCTCGGGCCGCCAGGTAGTCGGCGTTGTAGAAGCAGCCCTCCGCGGACGCCTGCCGGTCAAACCTGCCTCCTACGGGAGCCCCCCGGGCAGGGTCGGCACCGGGAGGGGACGGGGGGTCAGGGCCGGCTCCCGGGGGCCCTGGCGGAGATCTCTGTGGTGCCAGGGCAGGGTTGAACTCCTGGAAATGCACCGGGAAGAAGGCCTGCCAGCCAGAGATGGCGTTCATTCGGCAACGGTTGAGGACTTCGGGCCCGGGCCTGGTCCACACGGTGGTGAGGAAGAAGAGTGTGTCCACGGGGTGCTTCTTAGAGACCACGTCCATGAGCCGCACCTGGGAAGGGGCCTCTGCGCGCACGGCGAGCCAGGCCAGCCTGGTCCCCGGGTACCGTCGCTCTAACTCGGCCGCTGCCGCCTTCACCCCAACGAATGGGTCTGGGGCCCCTCGGCCACCTTCCCGGGGTCCGTAGACCAGCAGCAGGGTGAGCAGCGCGTGGTCTCGTGGCTCCAGGACACCGGCCGCAAAGGCCTCCAGGAAAGCCAGGGCTGCGGCGGCTTCGGCCGCCGGGAGCGGCAGCACGAGCTGCACGCGGGTGGCCTCCGTGACATAGGGCATGGGCAGGATCTCCACCCGGCTCAGTGGCCGCAGCAGGCTGACCCTGCGGGCCAGGGCCCGCCGGTGCCCGCGCTGCGTCACGGCTTCCAGCAGGAGGTCCAGGGTGTACTCCATGCCCCGCGCCGGGTCGAAGCGCCGATAGCCGTTGAGCAGCCGCTGCTTCTGAAAGCGCAGGCGGGGCTCGTAGCGCCGATTTAGCTGCTCCAAAGCAGTCTCCACGGCGTCACCCACATCGGCCCTGCTGGCCCCCTGCAGTGGGCACTTGGGGGACCCGTCTGCACAGGAGAAGGTATGCTGCTCTGTGAAGTAGTCCCAGCCCAGCACCTCAAATCGAGAGTGTGGTGTGAAAGGGGCCGGGAGCCCGATGGGCCAGCTCAGCCCGGCCTCGCCCTCGGGGGTCAGCACGGTCAGGTTCTGGATCTGAGCCTAGGGTGGGAGGGACGCACAGTTAGGGCCCTCTCGGGAGTCAGGGCCCGACCCGACCCGGCTCTAGCGTCCTGGGTTCTGAGCTCTGTCCTGACTCTGTCAACACGTGGTGAGGTGCCCCCGGGCTAATCGTTTCATCCCCTTTCCATTCGTGTCTGTAAAATGCAGAAAGCATGTGAATCCCACACACCTTATACAGTTGCTCCGAGAAGGAAGAGGTGGGAAATGTGCTTTTGCAGAGGTTAAAGCCCCGCTGCCTTTCTCTCCCATACCCACAGAATACCTTCTTCATGACCGAACCTTCGCTTTCACCTGCATTCCACCACTCACAGCCACGATCCACTGGAGCATTCTTCCACGTCCACCCTTGGGCTTTTTAAGGACAGTGCTAGAAATCCAGGGACTTCTAGGCTTCTGCGTGCCCAGTGGAGGGGCACTAAAACAATCGTGTCTAAGCGCTGTACTGAGCCCTAATCCTCACAGCGCACCTGCAAACCCTTTTAACTCCATCCAGGTCGGGCCAGGAGCTTCTCTTACGATTGACCTGGGTGCCCATGGGCCCCTTCTCCTTGGAGAGGTTTACACTTAGGTGTGGTCAGCCTCCCCGCTCACCCAGCTGCCCACTCGCTGGGAGCTGACCTCCGTCCGCGGCCCCAGGCTCACCTGCAGTTGCTCTATCTCGCCGTACGCCCGCTCTAGCTCCAGAGCACTGAAGCGCTTATGCAGCCTGTACATGAGGGCTCCCTCGGAGACGGGGTGCACTGCGAAGGCACTCAGGAAAGCCGAGCTCCCCTCCTTCTCAGGGTCCCTATTTTTGGCCAGTTCAAATGAACGATACTGCTGCCCCTAAAGGGACCAATCAGATCAATCAAAACCACGCACGGAGGGCTGCCTGTCCCCACCACCCCTAACCGGACTCCGCGTTCACCCCTGTTGCTGCCACAGAACGGCGGGGGGGAGCAGGAGCTCACTCCAGTGTCCCCTTAAGCTTGGCCCGACTCTCACCAGACTTGGGAAAAAAGAATGTGAAGTAGGCAGTTAAGGATGCCCTCTTTGCCCAAAGAACCGCACTGTTTGAAGAGAATGAAAGCCATGAGCCAGAAAATGCTCCCCGACTCTGGTTTACCTTACTTCTCCAGGACAGTGGCCATCTCTAGGACATTCCCAGGTCGTTTATGACTGTGCGTGTGTCCGGGGAGGGGGCAAAGGGCATGGGGGGCAGATGGGAGGAGCTGGTGAGTAGGGGCACCTTTCTAGCTTGCCCAGAGGGTCCCTGACAAGATGCCACTTTTGACAGCCCGAGGGTTCTAAGCCAGGGTCAGTGGCTAGGAAGGACAAAACCCCAACGCACTGCTGGGAAGGAGCCAGCAGCACCCACCCTGGAGACCAATCACGCAGTCACTACGAATTGTCGGGGACCGAGATGGACTTGAAAGGGCTGTCACCTGGTGCTGGGAGACACAGCCGATGCCCAGAGAGTCGATGAGGCAGCGGCCAAGCCACTCATCGGGACGGGCACTGAGAATGTCTCCTCGGCAGCCGTCCAGATGGGGCCGCAATCGAAGCAGGAGACTCCGTGACAACAGGTAGCCAAAGCCCCCGTGGCAGTACTGGGCCTGCTCGCCCGCGCCAATAAACTCCTCGGCTCGGCCCAAGTACAGGTCTTGGTTGATGCTGAGGTGGCCAGCAAGGGCTGCCAGGCGGGGGGCCTGTACATACGTGTCATCCTGCATGATGAAGAACCAGTCGTAGTCGGCCCCAAAGTGTGTGTGGAGATGGCGCAGGGTCTCTGACATGAGCCAGGCTGGCCGTTCGTCCCCGTGAGACACCACCTGCATTCCTGCAGGAGTCCGCGCCCCTCGCTGCCCCGTGAAGTACAGTAATCGGGGGAAGTGGTGGGCCACTGTGCGGTTGACAGCCACAGCCAGAGTGGACAGGGTAGCCCTGGAGGTCAGGACAGCCACCAGCAACCGCTCCCGAGAGCCCAGCTCTGTTTGGATATACCGAGTCCTGCGGAGGGACAAACAGGCCAAGGGTCAACTCCTTAATCTTTAGGAGCCCAGTTTGTCCAGCATATATGTCGCTCTAGGAATGCAGAGAGGAGGGACCTCCTCGTTGATATTAATGAGCTACTCCAGTGAGCATCCACTGACACTGGAATTCATTTGAGGAGGGGTCTACTAAGGATGGACTGGATGATTAGGTGGTTAGATGCAATTCCTGCCCTGTTTAAGAACATCCAACACAAATTTAACACCAACGGGCAAGACTTTCTTAAACCTGAGAAGGGAAAAATAGGAACAAACCATGATGGGTAATAAGGCAAAGAATTGTTCTAGGAGGCTAACACTGATCACCAGTGAAGGCAGAGGCAAGGCCTTAGAGCCGCGCATAAGTGGGGTCCGGGGACCATGTACACACACAGCTCTCACCTGAGCACCTTCTTATAGGGCTTGTTGGGATCCCTGTAGTAAGGGACAATCCGGGGTTTGAAGTCTTCATCACTTTGGTCGAGTCCAGTTCTTGAGTCTGGATTATGTGGCACTCCTGGTTCCCCCACAGCTTCTACACAAGGATCTTCTCCCTCACCCTGGATCCAGGAAACCCGCAAGAGGCTCAGGCTGCATCCCAGAGACAGCCCTAGGATGAGGGGCAGTGCTGGTTGAAGCACAGCCAACAGGGAGCTCAGTCGCATGGTGGTAGGCCCTGCCATACGTATGCCCCAGAGGGCACGGCTTCAAGGATCAATCAATAGGTTGGATGGGTATTAGGCCAATAGTAGGCCTGCAGTTTTTAACCAGGAAACCTAGGGTCAGTGAAGGCAACGACAGAGCAAGCTGTGCTTGCTTCCAGGCCCAGCATCCCCAGGAAGCGTATGGCTGGGCTTCAGTCCTCGAGGTGCCAGATTTAACCCTCAGTCTAAATGGCAAAACATATTAGAGTCAATTTCACCCATTAACGGGATTATGGTCTGTCTTCCAGAAAGAGGAGGGAACAAAACTTAATCCTGCCAAATCTAACCCAAAATGAAGGACTACACACATCTGTAGACCGGATCTAAGTCGATACAGCAGCAGCTGATACAGAAAGGGTTGGGGAAAAGCACATACTCCATCAAAGTAACAGCCTCAACAAGAGCCTTCGTCAGCTCTTTTTCAAAGAGCACCTGGCTGAGGGCACGTTTCTCACTCAATTCACTGAAGGGGCTGCCGACTAGCTATTGAAGACTAGCTACTGAAGGCCAGCACGGGGGAAGGGTTAAGGGCCTCTTTTCTACTCTACTCCTGAGTGTTAAGGAAACACACAGCTACTAGAGTAACCCCTCCTCCCAGGCGAGAGTGGTCAAGAGCCTCTGCCATGGTGCGCAGTTCTGCCCACCCACAGGAGGTGGACAGAGACGTGACTCAGCACTGAGAGCCTCTCAGAGGAGCACAACGGCTGATGGAACCATGCTGCGGGGCAATTCTTCTCTGAATCCCAGCTGCTCAGAGGCTGGTGCCGTCCACCTTCTTCTGAGAGGAGACAGGAAGCGAATGACAGTAACTCTGGCTGTGTAAGAGCAATTCAGCGTCTGGGTTTACCGGGGCCCCAGGTACCCAAGCCAAACCAAAGTGGGAGGACGAGAAGCAGCTAGAGACGACACCGGGATCCTGTGAAAGCAAACGGAGGCTCGGCTGGCTTCGGACGTGACCGCTGCCAGGACGAGCGCCGCCGCTCTCCCGCTCAGCGATCAAAGACCAAGTCCAGTCCTAGAAGGAAGGCCCAACGCGAGTTTTAGCTGTTAGTCTCGAAACAGAAATAAAACCGGCTGCGTCACGGAACTGTCGAGGAGGGGCTGGGGGACTCAGCTCGGTTTGTTCGGGCGGAGGGAATGGAGGTCGCGGCTGGGCGAGGAAGGCAAAGACCCCGTTATCAGGCCCGTCGGCGGGGCAAAGGCCCTGCCTGCGCCAGCGGGCGAGGGACAGCAGGCACACCCGAGTCCCACAGGCGGAGGCCCTGCAGCAGGGCCAGGGGAGGCGGCGGACCGGTAATGGGCAGCCCGGTGTGGCCGATGCGGCCAGCGCCGTCCTGGGGAGCAGGGGCGAGGGCGTGGGGTGGGACCTGCTCCTGCCGTCGGGAGCTGCGCCCCTGTCGCCCCTGCAGGGGGAAGGGCGGGGAAGGGGGAAACAGACCCCGGTGCCCGGCCGAGGCGCCCGCTCCGCCGCTGCAGCCGCTGCCACCTCACAGCCCGGCCCGCGCCTTCCTCTTCCGCTCGCCGTCAGTCCCGGTCTCTATGGTGACAGCATCCGGTCGCTCGCCCCGCCTCCGCCCCGGGTGGTCTCCCCGCCCCTTCCGCGCACCGCGCAGCCGCCGCGGGGGTGACGTGGCGGCCCGGCCAGGCACCGGCTCCGAAGAAGAGGCGTGCGCCCCACAGACGCTAGTACGGGTGGACCGGGAGGCGCTCCGCATCTTCAAGCTCAACTTTTGTCTGCCTTAGAAATAAAATGTCCTTCGCCTCAGTGGGCGCGGTTCTGCCTCCTCGACGACTTCTCCCGATGGGCTTCGGAACCCCATCGTCCACTGAGTTATTTCAGAAATGTTGTTTGCCTACCAAGTTGCAGGCCAGCATTGAAAGTATTGAGTGAGGGACGCCTGGGTGGCTCAGCCATTTAAGCGTCTGCCTTCGGCTCAGGTCATGATGGCAGGGTCCTGGGATCGAGCATCGGGCTCGTTGGTCAGCAGGGAGTCCGCTTCTCCCTCTGCCTGCTGCTCTTCCAGTTTGTGCGCGCGCTCTCACAAATAAATAAATAAAATCTTGAGGGGAAAAAAAGAGAGAGAGAGAGAGAGAAAAGAAAAGAAAGAATTGAGTGAACAAGTGGTGGGCGAGGCGGGCATGGTCCCTGCCCTCTGGGAGCTGAGGGTTGAGAGAGACAGACATTAAACACACACTGACATACCAAAAATATGAACAGGTAGAAAGGAAATCACAACCTGTCATAAGTATCATTGCAGAAAGTAGAGACCAGCAGAAAAACATGACAGGAAGAATTAAATTAGATTGGGAATTTGGGAATGCTGAGATCCAAAGATTGAGTAAGTTACCTAGGCAAAAAGTGGAGAGGAGTTTTCTGGGCAAAGAGCAGAGCACATAGGACCTGAAAGAGGAAAGACACTGCCCTAGAGAAGAACTGGGAAGGCCAGGGCCAGCTAAAGTCCGACGAGAGAGGCAAAAATAGCCCAAGGGAAGGCTGGAGGGCTGGCCGGGTCTTCCAAAGAGCACAACAGGTTTCCAACAGGGAAGGCACATCCCTAATAGGCAATTTGCAAGTGTATGAGGGGGGCAATCTCGTTTTATGGTTGAGGGGAGGAGCCAAGCATGCTACAAATCCTGCACTTTGCAAGACTGTCACACAAGAGGAAATCACCCAGCCCACACAGCTTTCAAATGTTCTCCTAAAAGTTCATGTAAGTGGAAAAAAAAGTTATAATTAACTAATCCTTGAACCTGTGTTTTATTTTTCAAAACATTTTATTTATTTATTTGGCAGAGAGGGAGAGCACAAGCAGGGGGAGCAGCAGGCAGAGGGAAAGGGAGAAGCAGGCTCCCCGCTGAGCAGAGAGCCTGATGTGGAGCTCAATCCCAGAACCCCAGGATCATGACCTGAGCCTAGCCGAAGGCAGACACCACCCAGGCGCCCCAAGAGCCTGTGTTTTATATATAAAAACAAAGTAATTTTGCAGGGTTGTAATATGTGCAGAATTTTCAAGGAATGTATCATGTAAATGGAAGGAAGATAATACTTTGTTTCATTCAGGAATTTACTAAGTTACTATTTTGGAGAACTGTATCACAGACAGCAGTGTCCTCCTGGCGTTCTGTCTGTATTTGTACTGTCACGTTCAAGGTGATCCTATATGCAGGTACAAACATATGACTAATTATGTTTTCTAGCATAGTGAAATAACAATTACTGGCAAGTCCCTCCTTTTTTTCTGTTATGGTTAAGACACAATAATTTTTTTTTTTTAATTTATGTGTGTAGTTAGGTTATATCATCTATGAACTTTATTTCAAAATAGTAAGGAGGTGTTATTAAAAAAAAGTTTGCTATTAAAAGGGAACGTTGGGGCTGGTAGAGTTAAGAACCATCATTCTAGGAAGTATATAAGATAGAAGTTACCAGCATTTGTTTTCCTTTTTTTTTTTTAAAGATTTTTTATTTTATTTATTTATTTGAGACAGAGAGAATGAGAGGGAGGAGGGTCAGAGGGAGAAGCAGACTCCCTGCCGAGCAGGGAGC